AAGGTAGCGGCTTGAAAATATGGTTGAGTAAAATGGGTACAAATACTAATCATCCGATGAGGATATATTTTGAAATACATACATATGTATGTATGTACATATGTATATAGAAATAAATATTTTGTAAAATTGAAAGAAATTGAAAGTTTATTTTTTTTTTTTTTGAACAAAATCAAACAAAATTTTATTTGGATAAAAAGACTGTGTTAGGATATATTCAGATACCATTTTGTGGAGGAGGTAACGGATGGGGTGATCGATTGTGTAAAATGACATTGACATTATTTTTGTTACTTTGCGAAAAAATTGTGTTTCAAGAAAACAAAAATTACCACCATTACAGAAAACAGAGAATTATTTAATAACTACTATACAACTACTACAAAATGGAAATTTCATGCTGTTTGTGGTGTTAATGCGAGCATATAAAAATACCAGGGTTTACTTAATTTTAAAATTAAATTTAGTAAATATTGCAACTGTACATAGGATGCTTACTAATTGGTCATATCTAAATTTTAATATGATAACTATTTATGTTGAGTGTTTTTTTTCGGCCTTTTTTGTTGATATTCCAGTAAAGAGATTATTTGAGCTTGAGGTCTTTTTTAAATTAGTTTATTCATTCAAAGATTTCCCAATATTTCGCAATTGTCAAATTGCATCTTCAGGGGTGATCTATTTAAGAAAACATACATTCAATATTATTATCACAGCAAATAGTTATTACATATTTTCAAAAAAGATTTCTTACATCTACATAATAATAGTCAGGTTTTTCTTAATAGCTAATGTAGTTGTACTACAATTGCCTATAGTTGATATTGTACTGATTATTCCCATGTATTGCACGATCTCTTCCTTGTAAAATTTCGATAACAATATGCTGCATTATCGGTATCGCTTTTATAATTTATTTTTAAGTTTGTTGGTATGTTATTAATATGTAACATCTCCAATGTTAACCTTCTGTTGCAATTGTTCTCTGACTGTAATATGCGTATGTCAAAAAACAAAAGAAGAAAAACAAAAGAAAGGACTACCAATGGGTTCACCTGCTTCTCCGATTGTAGCTGATATAGTGATGGAGAAACTACTTGACACCTGTATGTAAAAACTGAAGACAAAACCTGTGATATTGACGAAATACGTAGATGATTTATTTATACTAATTGGAAGAGATGCAATAATAGACACCTTGACGACTTTCAACAATTTCAACCAAAACATAAAATCTACCATGGAAGAAGAAAATAATGGTTCCATCCTGTATCTCGACATACTTATAGGAGAAAAAACGGCAACATTGAACTTGATTGGTACAAAAGACCTACCGCCTCTGGTCGCATATTAAATGTCTATTCCAAACACAACAAATGATTATTAACACAGGTAGAAATCTTATAAACAGAATATTAAATATCAGCGACAATAAGTTCCATGAAAATAATAAAAATAAAATACGAAAAATACTGACCAAAAATTGTTTCCCAAAAGTACAAATAGAAAATTTATTAATTAACCAAATACAACATGACAAAGACGAAGGAGAAAACAGAAAAACATTATAAATCAATGATTTATATTCCGGGAATATCGGAAAGATTCCAAAACTCTGGTCTATATGACACAGATAAATTGCAGATAGCAACTAGGACAAATAATACACTCAAATGCTTATTTACTAATACTAAAAGTAAAATTCGTATTACTGAGAGACATAACGTTATATACCGTATTGAATGTGATGGATCGAAAAATGATAAATGTGGAAAAATGTATGTGGGTACCACGAAAAACAAACTTAAAACAATATTGTTACGTTCTTGGATTTTGCTTAATCCCGTGTAGACGTTGTTTTATTTCCCGATACAATTCGTACCAAATAAAACGCGGGTTCTTTCGGATTACGATTATTACAATGATTTTATTCACACAACTTTACTTTGCACTTTACTTTACTCGACGGTTTCAATTCGCGATCTGATTCACAACTGACTACTGCCTTTCCATTCCCTCTATTTATATGAGCCCTGCCTGTCGCCACAGAAGTTTCTAGACGATCTGGTAACACCTAGATCACGAACAATCTACCAATGCAACAAACACATTGAGTAACAATAACAACAACAAACTTACTGAGTGAACAATAACAACAACAAACTTGAGTAAACAAACTTACAATAACAACAACACATATACAGGCGAGGGAATAACAAAGAAAGAGGAATAACAACAACACATATACAGGCGAGGGAATAACAAAGAAAGAGGAATAACAACAACACATATACAGGCGAGGGAATAACAAAGAAAGAGGAATGACGTTTAACAAGAATTGTACGACAATAACAAAATAGAAAATGAAAGAGGAAATGGAAGGATGTAGAAAAATCTATACAGTGGTTGTTGTTGTGAAGTTATTCAAATAAACTGCGTAGTAGAAATTTACGTTACAATTCAAATTCTTAAATTAACGGAATTCATCTAAATTAACTTAAATCTAAAGTTATATTCGTAACATTGCCCCCCGCTTAAGCCTGTTCGTCCCGAATAGGCACAGTTCCCGTTCCGTAGGGGGTCAGCCGCTCCAAATGTACAACTTTCATCTTCGACCTGGGACTGTCGCTCCTCTGGATGCGATAAACGACGTCATTTATTTTCGTGACAATCTTGTAGGGTCCTTCCCAGTGCGTTTGCAATTTGGGGCATAGTCCTTTCTTTCGTTGTGGGTTGAACAATAGTACCAGTTGCCCTTCTTGAAACCCATCGGTATTTGCCGCTCGATCGTACCTTGCCTTCATGCGGTTGCTAACCATTTTTATTCGATGTCGGACTGCATCGTGGACTTTACTAAAAGAGTTTTGGCTGTCTTCATCTTGGTTCACATCGTCGTTTGGGGTAGCGCCGAATATCAAATCGCCAGGTAGCTTTAATTCATTTCCGAACAGAACTTTGGCTGGGGTCCGGGATGTGGAATCATGAATGGCCGATCTATAAGCCAATAAAAACTTTGGAATATGCTCATCCCAGTCTCGTTGGCCACTGTCCACCACTTTCCGTAGATGTTCTTCAAGGGTGCGATTGAATCTTTCCACCATGCCATCTGATTGTGGATGTAGGGGCGTCGTTCTGGTTTTCTTAATTCCGTAGGAGTCACACATTTCCTTGAAGATCGCTGATTCAAAATTCCTACCTTGATCGGAATGAACCTCAGATGGAACACCATAGCGACAAATCCAATTTTTGCTGAACACATCCACAATTGTCCTGGCTTCTTGATTTGGGATAGCATAAACCTCCGGCCATTTACTGAAGTAATCCATGACCACTAAGACATACCGGTTCCCAGAGTCGCTTGTGGGGAACGGTCCAGCTACATCCATTGCGATTCTTTCAAAAGGGGCTCCTGAATTATACTGCTGCATGTAGCCTCGACTCTTCCGTGTTGGACCTTTAGCTTTTATGCTCCTTTCACAATTGGCGATCCAGTCGGCAATGGATTTTTGACAGCCGACCCAGTAGAATCTCTGCTTTACCTTTTCAGCGGTCTTTGCTATGCCAAGATGTCCTCCACTTGGCCCATCGTGAAACTCCGACAAGACATCTCTTATTTTGGAGTCTGGGACGACGATCAAGTTCCGGTGAGATTTACCGTCCTCACTTTCCCATTTGCGATATAGGCAGCCATCTTTTATAAGTAGACTGTCCCACTGGGCCCAATAGGATTTTAAAAGAGGGCTTTCGGAGGTAATTTCTTTACGACTAGGTCGCTTGCCCGTTTCAATGGCCGAAATTACTTTGCCCAGAATGGGATCTCTTCGTTGTTCCGTCGACCAATCTTCACCCGACTCAAACTGCAATAGTCGGACATCAACGATATTCTCCTTATTCTCAGCCTTTGAGCAATGCCTGCATTCTACCTTGCATGGCCGACGAGACAGGGCATCAGCATTACCGTGTTTTCCGCCTTTTCTGTGCTCGATTCTGAAATCATAACTCTGCAGCCTCTCGATCCAACGGGCTAGTTGACCTTCCGGATTCTTAAACCGCAGCAACCATTGGAGAGCAGCGTGGTCGGTCCTCAGCAGGAAATGCTGGCCATATAGGTATTTGTGGAAGTGTTTAACGCTCTCAAGGGCAGCAAGCAGCTCTCTCCTCGTCACACAGTAATTCCTCTCAGGCTTCGACAATGTCCGGCTGTAGTACCCGATGACTTTTTCCTGTCCGTCGATTTCCTGGGAAAGGACGCCACCGATGCCGCACGCACTTGCGTCTGTGTCCAGAGCAAACTTTCCGCCAGGTATAGGGTATGCCAAAATGGGGGCTCTGCATAGCATGTCTTTGAGTTTACTGAACGCCTCTTCTTGGTCGTTGCCCCACTGGAACCTCTGGCCTTTTTGCGTTAAGCGGTGTAGACAGGCGGCGATGTTGGCAAAATTTGGGACAAATCGACGGTAGTAGGTGCAGAGACCCAGAAAGCTTCGCAGCTCATGGAGATTTCGGGGCTGCGGCCAATCTCTGACGGCTTGAATTTTCTCCTTATCCGTCGATATGCCCTCCGGCGTCACGTGATGCCCCAGGAACTTCACCTCTCGTTGGAAGAGACTGCACTTCTTTGGGTTCAGCTTGAGGCCTGAAGACGAAAGCTGCTGAAGAACATCCTTTAAATTCTTGATGTGTTCGTCGAAGTTGCGTCCCATGACTATGATGTCATCCAGGTATATGAGGCATGACTTCCACTGCAGCCCTTTTAACACACGCTCCATCAGCCTTTCAAATGTAGCCGGGGCGTTGCAGAGTCCGAATGGCATGACATTGAACTGCCAGAGACCAAACGCTGTTTTCTCCTTATCTTTCTCGGCGATCTCTACTTGCCAGTACCCACTCTGCAGGTCGAGGGTGGAGAACCATGACGTCCCGGCTAATGTGTCCAATGTGTCGTCGATTCTTGGGAGCGGATAGCTGTCTTTCTTGGTGACATCATTTAAAGGCGGGATCACATGATTGCCGCAATGCGCCAATTATTGGTGCATTTTATATGCCAATCGTGTGATTGCACAATTTATTGTCCAATGCGACAATCAAAAATAAATTGTGCTGATTTGCGGCAATCAAATACAACTCTGGTACGACAATCGTGTGAACTGTTAATAGACAACCTTGCGCAAATTTAAAGTTGAAAAATGCGTCAATATTTATTGTTTTCTAGTGCGTCAATCAAAGAAGACAATACGCGTCAATAACCTGATTTTTTTTAAATAATATTTTTTCTTGTGTTTGTACCGTCAACATTTCTTTGTCGTAAGTAAAGTAAAGTTAATTTAAATTGTTGTATTTGCTATAATTATGTTCATATTATGTATTTGCAGCTTTAATATGGAATTCGGTGATTGCATTGTATACGAAAATTCAGCTGAGCTTGAGTTCTTTTCCCCCGATCAGCAACCAGAAACACCTGTGCCGAAAAAAAGAAAAAAACCAAGTGTAATTTGTTCCTGGACCTACACTGCAATACAGGAGCTGATACAAGCTGTGGAACAGCATCCATGTGTTTGGCAGTATTCATCCACCGAGTACAAAGATAGGAATAAACGGGAGCAGGCATGGCGGGAAATTGAAAAAATGTGTACAGGGCACACGGTGGAAGACTGCAAGGCCAAATGGTGCAACATTAAAACGGCCTTTCAAAATGTAAAAAAAAAACTAAAATCAAAATCTGGTCAGGGAGCCGAAAATACCATACCACATTGGCCGCATTGGTCTGCAATGCAATTTTACAACGACCACTCTGTGTCAAAAATGTCAAGTACAGTGTCAACATTAGATTTGGATGACTCTGGAAGTACTTCACAACATGCCGCTGCTGAGATTGTAAAGGTAGACAAAAGTGACATTTTGCAGCGTGCAGTTAAGTGTTTAGATGCGGAGGAAGATAATTGGCACGCGATTGGGATGTATTTGGCATCACAAATGCGAGAAATTGTCAAGAAAAACAAGAAGGCTGCGAACAAACTGCATTTCCAGCTTGTCAAAGTCGTAATGGATGCAGCTTTGGAAGCTGAAGAAGATGATTAAGCCTTGATAAATTTTTTGCGTTATATTTCATTTTTTAAATTGAATTTTTATAGTATGTATATGTAAGTTTTTGTTTTGTTATTTTGTTTGCAATATTGAAGTACCTTCCTAGTCCGTATTTTTTTAGATACTAAAAATGAATTAAATAAAACTAGTAAATTTTCTGATTTTAAATTAAAGTTTAAATTTTATTTGATATATAAAATTATTTATATATTTTTATATTGCCAGCTCAATTCTCCAATAGGAGACATGAAATACTTTTCCATTTCATCCCGAACAGCCTTTGCTTCACTTGTTATATAAGAACTTGGAACATTTTCTGTTCCACTCACAGCATCTAGTGGGAAGTCATTTCGCCATGTACCAGGAATTAAAGCACCGTCCTCATCGTAGCGATCAACAAGCAACGACGTTGTATAATTTAAATTTTTTTTTAACAAAAAATTGTGTAATGCACAGCAAGCTAGAGTTGTAGAGGTTGTTTTCTCTGCATTAAGCTTGGAAGGGCGTGAAAAAATTTGAAATCGCTTGACCATTATGCCAAATGCATTTTCTACAACACGTCGTGCTCTCGATAGCCTGTAGTTAAATATTCTCTGCCCTGCAGATAAACTTTTACCAGGATATGGCTTCAGCAAATGTTTCTGCATGCGGAAAGCATCATCCGCAACCAAAACAAATGGAACATTTGCTTGACGACCTGGCAATGGTTTTGGAAGTGGCAAATTTAGCTCATTATTGTTTAAAGCACGTTGAAAAGTACAGTCTCCAAAGACTCCACCATCCGACACACGACCATTACAGCCAACATCAACGTATAAAAAGTTGTATTCGGCATCAACAACTGCCATTAGCACTATACTATGTGTACCTTTATAGTTATAGAAGGTGCTTCCTGAATTAGGTGGTGCTATAATTTGCACATGTTTGCCGTCAACCGCCCCTATGCAGTTCGGGAAGTTCCATAGTTTGTTAAATTTGAAAGCAACGACATTCCATTCTTCCTGCGTGGATGGTATCTACATACATATCAAAAGAAATAATAAGTCAATTAAAAAGCATAAATATGTGTGTATTTAGATTTTTCATACCTTTATGTATGCACCTTTTAACGCTTTATAAATAGCATCACAAACAATTGGTACGAAAAGTGATATGGTATTTGGGGCAACACGGAAGAAGACCGAAAGACTTTTATAACTGTCACCAGATGCAAGAAATCGAAGTGTCACAGCTAAGCGTATTTGTTCGGGAATAGCCTTTCGCATGTTTGTGTCTTGTTTTTTAATATATGGTGACACTAGTTGCAACAATTCGATAAACGTTTCGTCATCCATCCGGATAAAATTTTTAAACAAAAACTTTTGGTTTTCGATTTCCCGGAATTCCATTAATGTTTTGTCATATGCACCATCAGTGCTTCTTTTTGTGAGCCACTCTCTGACCCACGTACTTCTATTTACTTTTTTTTTCTTTTCTTTCCTTTCATTTTTCTCATCGTCAAATGCACACACCATAATTATAGCTGCTGCAATTTTCTTTTTTTTTAAAGAACACATCTTAATAAAACAAATTTTTAAATGCTTTAACATTTTTAATAAACAAACTTTGACACATAGCAGCTGCTTCTGATATTTGCCGTGTAGTAGAACAATCGTGTGACTGAAGTTGGACAATAATTGTCACTTGATGGTTTTGAGACAATATGCGGCAATCAAATTTATGAAAAGTTGGACAATCATGTGACCGCAGAGAATTTGATTGTGACAATTTATTTATTGTAGTAAAACTTTGGACAATAAAAATTGGTTTAAATTGGCGCATTGCGACAATCATGTGATCCCACCTTAACTTTCGGTAGTCCACACAAAACCGGGTGCTTCCGTCTTTCTTCTTGACCAAGACCACTGGGGAGCACCATGGACTTGACGATGGCTCTATTACACCACTCTTTTCCATTTCACTTATCAGCTTCTGTACCTCGTCTCTTTTGGCCAGGGGAACACTTCTTGGAGGCTGTTTAACGGGTCGCGCGTCTGCTGTATTGATTTCATGCTTCACCACTGATGTTCTTCCTTGGTGCTCTTTTGTCAACGCGAAGGTAGAGGCATACTTCCATAATAGCTGCTTAGCCTTGTTCCTCTCGGAAGGTGATAATTGGTGTGTCCACTCTTTTATGTAGCCGTCGAGGTGCTTCTTCTCCATGGCTGCTGGCTTTTCGGTGCTAGTTTCCAAATTAACTACAGATTCAGCTGGTGTGCATTGTCCAACATCGGAAAATTGGCAAATTTGCTCTTGCTTGTTTGACAGGTTCAAAACTCTAACAGGAATTAATCCGTCCTTGTTGCTTTTCACCAGGACATTCGCTATTAGGATGTTACTGTTTCTGTTTTCTGCTGGTTCCACCACCCACAACTTCTCGGCTCCACAATCTCCATTCATTGGTACCCATATTATTGCTTCGGCACAGGGCGGTATTATCTCTGGATGGTCCGTAGTCAGACGTCTAATGGGTGTACTTTCATCGTAGCCCACGTTTAACGGAATTTCGACGTTAGACCAGGTCATTACACGCTCTTTCATATCCAGATTGATGCCGAAGGCAATCATAAAATCTGCGCCTATTATCACTTCGTCTACGATATCGGCAACTATAAACTCGTAATTCACCGATTTATTGGCAATAGTTAGTCTCAGGGTAATCTTGCCGTGTACTGCCGCGGGCTCCCCCGTTGCTGTGCGCAGTCTGACTCCATTAAGTTGCGTTATTTTTCCCTTTACCAGATCTGATCTTATGATGGACTTTGATGCGCCAGTATCTAACGTCAGAACTCGCTTGTCACCATTGATGTACCCAGTTGTTGTTAGGTTGTGACTTTTCTGTTGTACTATTGCTATGGAGATTGTGGGGCCATCGTCGATGGGAGCCAGTTCATGCCCCGCTGGACTGGCTCGATTTAGTTTAACGGTGACTCATTGGTGGACTGTTGAGCCATTCTTCTACCATCTTTCGTTGGAGGTGGTGACGATGACCTGGATCGTTTGCGCTTAGCTCTGCATTCGCGCGCAATATGACCTGCTTTATCGCAGTTGTAGCATTTAACCCTGGGCTTAGTCATCCCTACTGACTTTGTTTCTTCTATTACCTGCCTCATGGCGTCCTTGATCGAGTTAACGAGAGATTTGGTTTCGCAGCCTTCGGTCTCCAGTTGGCGAATCTTGTGGGTCTGGGGCTTAACAATTATTCTTGCCGTCTCTTGGGCAAGGGCAAACGACACAGTTTCGGCAAACGACGCTTTTGGTGACGCATATGTTGCACATTTAATCTCAGGGTCACGTATGCCATTCACAAAGGTTTCGATTTTCATACGGTCCAGCAATGGGTGATTCTCTCCTGGATACGCCATTAGCACCAAACGTTCCACCTCAGCTGCAAAGTCTTGTAACGTCTCGTTCGCCCTCTGTACTTTTCCCCTTAGTTCCATAAGGTAGATGTTTTGTTTATGTTCGCCACCGTACTTACGTTCCAGTGCAGCAATAACATCTTCATAGTTGCTTCTAGAAGCGACAGGAATACTCTGTATAACATCAGCAGCACTGCCCTTCAATGCCAGAAGTAGTGCAACCGCTTTGTCGCTGTCGTTCCACGAATTTCTAGAAGCCACTGTCTCGAACTGTAACTTGAAAACATTGAATGACGTAGAGCCGTCGAATACAGGAGGTTTGATTTTTAATGTGTTATCAGGAGCTCGCACCGGACCACCTTTAATTTCCAGTTCCGAAATTTTCTTCTCCAGATTCGTAAACCTGTGGTCGTGGGCCAGAAATTTCTCGTCAACCGACTGCACTTTCTTATCCAAATCTTTAATTTGGACCTCCACGGTTTCCACTCTCCTTCCAATAACTTCTGTAATGTACTCGAGTTTCTCGTTCGTTATTCTCGAATTTTCTTCGAACATTCGTCTCGTGTTTTCTTCTAACTTTCTGGAATTCTCTTCGCTCCTTCTGGAATTTTCCTCAAACTTTCTGGCATTCTCTTCGAACATTCTTCTCGTGTTTTCTGCTAACATTCGGGAATTCTCTTCGAACATTTTAGCCAGCATTTCTCTTAAATCGTCACCCCTGGCAGCTACTGACGAGACTTCCCCACCGTTGGATTCGCCCATTTCCGATAAATCCACTTCATCCTTACTGTCAAACTCATATGTATCGATGTTCATACCACGGCGCTCGAACTCATCCAACAGGCGTTTTTGTAGCTCAGCCTTGTTGCCAGTAGAGGACAATTCCAATTTATTTAGCTCCTTCTTCAAGTCTTCCACTCGTAGATCCTTAAACTTCATCGTAGTATTATCGTAATCTCACTTCTGACACCAATTGTTACGTTCTTGGATTTTGCTTAATCCCGTGTAGACGTTGTTTTATTTCCCGATACAATTCGTACCAAATAAAACGCGGGTTCTTTCGGATTACGATTATTACAATGATTTTATTCACACAACTTTACTTTGCACTTTACTTTACTCGACGGTTTCAATTCGCGATCTGATTCACAACTGACTACTGCCTTTCCATTCCCTCTATTTATATGAGCCCTGCCTGTCGCCACAGAAGTTTCTAGACGATCTGGTAACACCTAGATCACGAACAATCTACCAATGCAACAAACACATTGAGTAACAATAACAACAACAAACTTACTGAGTGAACAATAACAACAACAAACTTGAGTAAACAAACTTACAATAACAACAACACATATACAGGCGAGGGAATAACAAAGAAAGAGGAATAACAACAACACATATACAGGCGAGGGAATAACAAAGAAAGAGGAATAACAACAACACATATACAGGCGAGGGAATAACAAAGAAAGAGGAATGACGTTTAACAAGAATTGTACGACAATAACAAAATAGAAAATGAAAGAGGAAATGGAAGGATGTAGAAAAATCTATACAGTGGTTGTTGTTGTGAAGTTATTCAAATAAACT